AAACAGGCATCTAGGCTCCGAAACACAGCTGTGTTCATAAGACAACAGAGAGAGACTGAACTGCCTTCTGCACAGACAAGCTGTGTTTAAGAGAACTGAACAAAGAAGTCTTTAGTTTTCAGGAAGTGGAGGTTAACACACCGTAGTTAGACCAGTATAACCCTGGGCACGGTGGTTCATGTCTGCAGTCCCAGATCCCAAGAGGCTAGGGCAGGAAGATGGCAAGTTCAAGGCCAGCTTGAACATCCTCAGGATGGAGGAGAGAGAGAGAGAGAGAGAGAGAGAGAGAAGGGAAGGAGGAAAAGAGAGTAAGAAACAGAAAGACTTTATGTTGAGATGGTAACTGTGAGCTGTAATCTCAAAGGGGAAGGTCGGTTTCCTGGGTGATCACTGGGTGTCAGCTAAATCCCTGGGACTACATTTCCTCTTAGTTGTGACTGAGTCCAGAGATTCAATAGGGAGACTAAAGCATTCTCTGCTCAGTAGCACTAGTTCCTCAGTTCCTGGTAAAATACAAACTTTGGAATAAAAGCACCTGACTTCAGTCCCTGGGGTTCCCAAATGTCCACTCTAAACCAAAGCTCAAGGAAAGTCCCTCCAGAAAGAATGAAACCACCAAGGACAGGAGAGTGAAGGCTGGAAAGAGCACGGCATTAGAATACAGCATTTATATCCTGCGTGTGCCCGCTTGGGCACAATTATGCTACAAAAACAAATTTGTCTCTGGTCTGATCTGCCGTAGATCTGAGCAACTTAAAGCAGTCTTGCAGAAAGCAGTAACTGTCAGAACTGAAAGGAAACGCCTCATTTTGATTGCGAGAAGAGCAGCAATATTTACACAGGTGATGGAAGGGAAGACCGGGAGCAGCATGGGCGTCCTGGGAACCGGCCACGCCGAGGCACTTGCTGAGTAAATTCAACTATAACTCCAGGAGACTGACACGGGGGTGTCTAACACAGAGCCCACACGAGCTGTAAGTGCGGCCCAAGACAAAACTGTGAACTCAACGTGTGAGGATCATTTATTTACTTATTTACTGTGCATGTGTGTCTTCCTGTGTGTGTCTGTGCATGCCTGGTGCCTGCAGAGGTCAGAAGGGGGCACAGATCCTCTCGAACTGTAGGTACAGACATGAGCTGCCATGTGGGTGCTGAGAACTGAACCCAGGTCCTCCACAAGAGTAGCCAGTGATCTTACCCACTGAGTATGACATCTCCAAAGCCAAACATCTGTGTGTGGAGGGGACTTTTTAGTAACACAGTTGTGTGGTTCTCAAACATGAACTTTGTAAAGGACAACATTGTGACAAACAAAATAACTGCATGCATGCCCTCTGGCTATATGTGTGTGTGGCTTCAGATAAACGGTGTGCAGCTTTTAAGCAGAGCGGGTCAAACTGGCACCACCAGACATTCCATGTGCTCATGGTGACAGAAACATGGAACATAGCAGTTAGCCATACTGTTGTAACCTTCCATGCCAAGGATAGCATCTGATGTTATGTAAAGGTGGGCGAGTGTTCTGATTTCAGATTTAAAGGTGCATCCACGCCTTGGTCCTGCCGCTTTCACTGCTCACAGCACTTGTTATTGGCTGTGACTTAATGCTCCATCCACAGCTGGGATGTGCAAGGGTCCAAATCTTGCTCTGTAGCTTCCTGTCAATTAATTTTCATAGAAGAAATATAGAATCCCTTCACGTTTTTCCTTCTCAGTATGCCTCGATTCTTGATTTAAACACATTCTTTTACATGTATTTTCTTATCTTATGTCTGAGGCAGAGGACATACACCTGCATTTGACACAGCACCCGCGCGACAGTCAGAGGTGATCTTTGTGCAGGTGACTCTGTCCTTCCCCTGTCCATGCATTCCAAGGCCTGAACTCGGGTCGCTAGGATCCTACAAGCTCCCACTGAACCTTCTCCTGCAGTTAGAAGGTTTTGTGTTGTTCTCATTTTTTTTCACGTTTATTTTTTCCTGTGTGTGTGTGGGGGGGTATACACATGTTCTGGTGTCTGTGGAGATCTCAGAAGAAAACAGAACCTCCCTCAGTCCCCCAAATTTCCAGATGAAGGAAGGCTGACGACAGGTGAGCTGACAGCTGGCCTTTCTGTAGAGGATATGGAAAGGAGGGCTGCTGATTTTGCGGGGGCTTTGCATGAGGTGTCACAGTTTGAACGGCATCGTATGCAGAAATGCACGCTGCCAGATCCCCTGTGCGTCAGGGGCTGTGCTGTGATTATAAAATAGTGAAGCTGGAAGTCAAATGCCTCCTCTCAACCACAACTGCTCTGAACGTCACAACTCAGAATCTACCGTAAAGCTTGTCATGCGTCAGCATCCTTATTAGAAAATCGAAACTGCGGATGCTGAGTTTGCTAAGCCATGTATGGAGAATACGAAAGACACAGTGTGCCCAAAGAGTCGTTGTTCTATATTAGTTCTAAAATTAGCTTGTCTTATAGCCAGCCTAACTGAAGAAACTGGAAAATCTATGGAAAGGGTTTGAAGAGTGGAGACATGAATGTTAAATTTTACACTTTTGGGGGTGGGTGAGGGCGGTGATGCTAAAGATGCAGCTGAACTTGCCATTTGCATCGGGGATATTGATGACAAGTATAACATCCCGAAAGAAATGGCTTTTTTAGTACCATTAAAACACACAACAGGGAGGGGGGGTGGGAGGTGGTAAGGAGACTCAGCAGGTAAAGGCTCTTACTGCCAAGCCTGACATCATGAATTAATTTAATCTCCAAAACTCACATGGTAGAAGTAGAGAACCAACTCTCGTTGTTGCCATCCGACCCCCATACCTGTGCCAAGGCTCGCGCAAGTATACACAGGAGATAAACATGTGACTGCATCCTGTGAGATGGCTCAGCAGGTAAAGGAGTTTAACACCAGGCCTGGAAACCTAAGTTCAGTTCCTGGAACCTATGCAGTTTCTGCAAAGCCATACAGGTACATGTATGTGTATACATAGACACACACACAAGATATTTATATGCAGTTGCAAAGCAAATGTTCAGCTGATTTTCTTTTTTAACCATTTTTCTTTTTATAATTTATCTTTTATTTTATTTGCTTTAGTGTCTTGCCTGCATGTGTGTCTGTGTGAGGATGTCAGATTCAAGAGTTACACACAGTTGTGAGCTGCCATGTATGTGCTGGGAATTGAACCTGGGTCCTCTGGAAGAACAGTTCATGCTCTTAACTACTGAGCCATGCTCCAGCCCCCTCAACTGATTTATTTTGTCTGTCATTAATCTATCTCATACAGTAGCTGACACCACCCTAGGGATGGTGAGCAATAGAGAGACATATCAAAGTCATAGAAGATGCATTTGCCACAAAAAAAAAACATTAAAAAAAAACCCTTTGTGCATAAAAGCTTTAAAATAGTTAACACCACGCAAAGCTCAGGCTCAGGGAAATGTTCTATGCACTGAGACACTGAGAACAGGTTTGGGGGAAATGCTTCGGTCTATTTGCACCTCCATTTTCAGTTGATAGAAATACACCCCTACATTTGTGAGCACCTGTCTTCAAGAATGATGGCCAGAACACTGACAAGCACCGGAAAGCCCCCAGGACTGCAGCTGTCGCTGCCTCAGTTTCTCAAGTACAAGGTCAGTAACTCCCTGGTTTTATGCCGCTCTCTTTTCTTTTACTTTTATAATAAAGTTGTCCCCCAGCACTCAGTGAGCGCTAGAGAGATGGCTCAGCAGCTAAGAGAGTATGCTGTGCTGGGCAGTGTGGTGCACAACTTCAATCCTCGACTCGGGAGGCATAGGCAGGTGGGTCTCTGATTCATGGCCAGCCTGGTCTATAGAGTGAGTTCCAAGATAGCCAGGACTGCACAGAGAAACCCCGTCTCAAAAACAAAAAACAGAAAGAAAAAATATATACTGCTTGATGGGTTCCCAGCACCCAAACCTTGCAGCTCACACCAGTTTGTAACTCCAGCTCCAGGAGATCCAGCACCTCTGCCTCCACAGGCACCTGTATTCATATGTGTAGACTCGTGTGCACATGTGAGCACGTGAGAACACACACCACAGACACATGCACACACACATAACTAAAAAACAAAAACAATTTTTTTCCTTTTCAATCAGTGAATTCCGGCATTTGGGAGACAAAGGCAGGCAGCTCTCTGAGTTCTAGGCTAGCAAACTTCACATAGTGAGAGCCTGTCTCAACAAACTTGTAAAAGCTGTATTACTTATGTTTTTATAATAATTATATTATTTATAATAATGCAGTGGTGATCAAAAACTTGGGACCTCCCTGATAAATTTAAAAGACTCCCTTAACGTGGAGATCTTGGGAAGAATGAGTGCTTGGAGCTCGCTGATGAAGTTAAGAAAGAAATAAAGAGGAAAGGAAAGAACACGACTGCTCCCGGGTGAGGTGGAGAAGAGAGTTTATTATGGATACGTGGGAGAGCACAGCCAGAGTCAGGGACAGGGACATCTGGGAGAGTCTAGAGTGGACATGACCAGGTTGAGCTGGGTCACGTGAGGAGAGGGGGAGGGGAAGGAGGGGGGAGAGAGCTAATCAGGTGCAGCAGCCAGGAGGTCAAAGAAACAAAAGGAAAAGGGCATCCAAAACATCTGGATTCTATTGAGAATATCCTCTGGGGAAGGGCAGCCAAAACATCTGGATTCTATTGGGAATATCCTCTGGAGAAGGGCAGCCAAAACGTCTGAATTCTATAGGGAAGAGTCCCTGGGGAAGGGCAGCTGAAACGTCTGGATTCTATAGGGAAGAGCCTCTGGGGAGGGCAGCCCCTGGGCTGGAGAGTTCAGGGTAGAGGGTGGGGTGTGCCAGCCATACCCTGTAATAGGGTGGGACTGAGGGATGCTGGGAGAACCTGGAGGCCAGATCCACTTTGATAGTTAAATAGGAACCTCAGTCATTTGTCCCAGGTTTGAAACTTAACAGTTCCAAGAAAAGATATTTAGAAGAAGGACTGGGGGAGGGGGAGGGACGGAGGATGCTTGTCCAGTTCTGAAACTATAGGTCACTCTGGAAAGTGAGCTAAGCTCCAATGGTGGATCACGTCAAAAAGTGGATGGGGTTCTGGTCCCTGACACTAGCTTTCTAGAGATCTACAGCTTCCTAATTCTCCAAACTTTGTTATCCTGGATCCGGATGAAATTAATCACTGCAAACAACACTATGTTCCTTTACAATCCTTTTCTAGCCTGTAAGCAGGAGAAGCTTGTGTTTCTGATCACTTCCTGTTTCTCCTTTCATGGCGAGTTGCTCTTTGAAGGGCCGTTCTTGAGCTCAGAGCATACCGAGCTGATGAAACATGGCTTGAACGATGGTTCAGCTTCACAGGGGAGCAGAGTCCATTGGCTCCTATACTGCGGAAACCTTTTTCTGGCCGTTCTGTTCCATCTACAAAACATACTGCATCTCGGCCCCACCAGGAGAGCCAGAAATTTCATGGGCATGCACTGCCACAGGAGACAGGAAACAGAGCCATTCTTGCCTGTCAGCCAGCCCCAATGTAAGTCCTACTGTCTGTGTGTATGATTACATGTGTATGTGGTATATGCCTTGTTTGGATTTTTATATGTTTTCACATGTGTGTATATGTCATTTGTGTATATGGTTGTCTTGTATGTGTGTGCTTGCTTGAGGATATGCACTGTTTATAAACATTTGTGTTTGTGTAGTGTTCACATGCCTGTGTGGTGTGTGCATGCTGTGTATAGTGATTGTATTATATATGTGCATAAAGCTTATGTTTCTGTACATAAGAAATGAACTCAGCATCTTTGGTTGGAGGTTCTTCTCATAATGTTTTGTCGGAGCATTTACAACTTCTGGTTTTGAGGTTTTGTGGGATTTCTGTGTTACCGTGTGTGTCTACATCTATATCTGTTTCTCCTGTTTTCTTTAGCTCTGTTTCATTTGTTTGTTCACTTGTTTTGTCCTATTCTGGTTTGTTTATCTTTTTTGTTTTATTATTATTCTTTATTTGTTTTCTAAGAGGAGACCGAAAGGGTGTGGATTCTGATCAGAGAAGAGGTGGGGAGGATCTCAGGGGGTTGGGGGAGGGGAAACCATAATCAAAATATTTTGTATGAAAAAAATCTACTTTCAGTAAAAGAAAAATAAGGGGGAAGCCCACAGAAAATCACGGAGTTTGTTTTGTATGATACATGTATTTCTATGTATGTCATATGTGTTACATGTCTGTGTGTTTACGAACCTGTGTGTGTGTGTGTCTACACATTTGTATACATGTAAGAGACATGACAGAAAGAGCTGGAGCAGGGAGCCAGGAGAGCTTTGTGCTCTGTGATGGCCTTTATGCTTCATGCTTGCTTTTCTCTCGGTGCTGGGGACCTGAAGCCAGGGTCTTGCGCACTCCCTGCAAGTGCTCTACCTCTGAGCCATGTCTGCCACCCCGAGTGGGCAAGGGTCCCTGGGGCACTTTTTTAAATTTCACTCTTTCTGAGCAATGTAACCAGGGTGATAATGTCTCTCCCCTCTGGGATGGAGACAAAAATTCGAAGTGAACCCTGCGTGTGTGTGGCACTGTCTGGGGAGGGCCGGGAAGACTCGGAGGACACGGCCTCCTTCCTTAGACAGGTCCGTGGGCACAGGGCTGGGTACATAACTGGGTGATTGCTGGGCTCTGCACTCTCCAGTTTCATTTGTTGGGAACTGTTTCCTGTCCACTCACCTGTTCTCCAAAGAACCAATGAGGATCAGTGAAGACTGCAAAGATTGAAGGGTCTGTAGCTTGTAGACCTCCGGGTCATAGAGCAGGGGACACAGAGGCAGCCAAGGCAGTGGGAACGCTGCTCAAGCCAGGAGGAGCTGATCAGAGCTGAATGCGGCTGTCGACCTGGCCTGCTTCCTTGGGAACTGCCAGACTTTCTACAGGCATCCACATGTTAGCCCATCCACAGTAAGCCAGACATTTGCTGAACATCGCAAAGCTGTGTCTTCAGTGGCTCCCACTGGCTTTTCCCAGGATTCAGAGGAGACAGGGCAATCTGCTGATTGAGTAGAGCAGAGCACCCAACAGTGCGGTGACAGCAAGTCCAGGTCCGCACCGGGGCTCCCCACCCCAGAGTCTTCATCTGGATTGTGTAGTCCAGGTCCACACTGGGGCTCCACATCCCAGAGGACGATTGTGTAGTCCAGGTCCGCACTGGGGATCCCCACCCCAGAGTCTTCATCTGGATTGTGTAGTCCAGGTCCTCACTGGGGCTCCCCACCCCAGAGAACGATTGTGTAGTCTGGCTATGAGGGTCCTGAGAAAGGCATGGATCATGCAGTTTTCTTCCCAACCCTGTCGGGAATCTAACTATCAATCTAATAACAGCACTGCAGGCTCTTGAGGCAGAGATGGTACTGGCCAGGAAGCGAGGACGCATCAGAGCGGTGTTGGCAGCTCCTGGTTGGGAAGCTGCGGTTCTAATGTGCAAAGAGAACTAAAGGTGATCGGTAACTGTGACTACACTGTGACATTGCAGGAGCAGGTCTCTTTAGATTCAGCCCTAAAATTCACCCGGAAAGGATACTGAGGACCAGGACTGTGAGCACCTGGCCAATGATGGTGTCTCCATTGCACACTGAGGTGCCCAGTTCACAGCAGGGCTCTGTCTTGCACTGTGAAGGTCCCCATGACTGCCACCTTCCTTGTAACTACTGATCACAGTCATGAGCTTTCAACCATGCCATTCTCAGTGCTAAACCCTAGATGTTTCTTTCTGGACTAAAGACCCAGAGTTGCCCCCTCCCCAGAACTTCCTGACCCTGCCCATGTAGGTCTTACATTGTCTGAGACACAAAATCAAGACCATGCTGCCTCTTTCTCCCTCTTCCTTACCGTTCTTCTCCTCCTGATCCCGTTCCCCTCCCCGGGCCCTCAGTACACAGCTCTGGACACTGTCCGCCCGAACCAATTTCTCTATGACAAATAATCTCTTAAACTCAGGGTGGAGAACACACCTTTGGGGGGTAGGGTTCCTAAAGCCCCCAGAAAGTGCCCCCTACTCCTCTTTCCCACTCCTTAACAAACATCCACACCCCCACACGTGTGAAGTAACTTTCCTCTCACGAGGAAAAGACAAGCATCCCTTCAAACACATCACTAAAAATTTATAGACTGGAGACATGGTTCAATGGATAGCAGGGCTTACTGTGAGAACTTAACTCCTGAATTTGATTCCTGGAACCCACGGGGAAGGAGAGCGGTGTCCTCTAACCTCTCCATGTGCACAAGGCACATAACCACCTGTGCATGCAAGTGTTTACGAGCGCGCGTGCGCACACACACACACACACACACACACACAAATGTTATTTACGTATATTTCTGTATATTTAGATGGAAGAAGAGTGTGAACATGGCCCCCAAAAGGACCCCACAAGGCAGTTGCCCCTGGACTCTGAACAAGGGCTGACAAAAGGTACACTGCTTTCTTAGCAGAGGAGAACTGGGGAGGCGTGGATGGGAACACTGGTGTACAGATGGACCTGAGCCCACACACTGAGTGCTGGGAGGGGCAGTTGAAGGACCTCATTACATAGATTTACCCACTGTAGCCAAAATAGAGCAAGAGGGCTCCTCTTTACACCAGGGAAAGCTAAGGAAAGGGACCCCTGCCAGGTGGATGGGCTCAGGAGGTGACAAATGCTGGTTCCAAGGAAAAGAGTCTTCACATCTAAGCTCCTCCCTGAGGACGTGCTGGTCTGGACATGATAAGACTGCTCCCAGCTCTGGAAGTCAGTAGTCCTTGTGTGTGATTAGCTGTGTCTGATGTGTCACACGGGTTGACAGTGTCATGCAAGCAAGCAGAGGGTCACCAGTGGCCACTGGGAGGGACAGGGCTCCGTCTTCTCAGAGATTCACTTTCGCCACCTAACCTAAGGAGAGGGCATTTGGGGATGCTAGGAACCTACCCATGTTTTCTTTCCAGAGGAAATTATTTGTGACTTGTTGCATTTCAACATGAGTGATTTTTTTTTTTGTTATAAATTCGAAGGGCCAGGACCATCAGGGAAAAACAGCCCAGTTATTCTACCACATGGGAAAGTCACCCACACAGGCGAAGCCTTTTCCACTTTTTTTTTTTAAATTTATTTATTTATTTAATTATTTATTTATTTGTTATGTATACAATATTCTTTCTGTGTGTATGCCTGCAGACCAGAAGAGGGCACCAGATCTCCTTACAGATGGTTGTGAGCCACCATGTGGTTGCTGGGAATTGAACTCAGGACCTTTGGAAGAGCAGGCAATGCTCTTAACCTCTGAGCCATCTCTCCAGCCCCCCCTTTTCCACTTCTTACGGGAAACAAAGCTGCTCATTACTTGAGAAGCCCTGTTTGCATCTCACAGCGCGTTGAGCTTTTCCGTTTGAGCTCCAGCTGCTGAAAAAAGTTCCTCTTTGGCCCTAGCTGCGCCTTAGCTAGGCAGGCAGGAATGGACATCCAACGTCCGTGCTTAATCGAAACTTCCGTGTATCCACTCAAGTTCTTTCTATTCCCTTTGGAAAGCTCAGGAGAGCCAAGAAGATTGCAGTTCAGCCTAGGGTGCAGACATGCAGAAGGTTTGAAGGCAGAACCTACAGTTTTTGGTAGGGTTGGAGCTCTGTGATCTGAGACCCATCAGTGTCTTCCACGGGGACCACTTGGAAACTGTCATTTGTCACTGTATGTGGTTTGGGTCCTAGGACCTGCAGGACTGGAATAAGGTCATTTCCTTCCCACTCCCCAGCCTCAGGCATATTTAAAAATTTAGCACTGGATTAGCCAGTGTTTAGTTGACGTATGAGTCTCCCTTCTCAGCTGGTGGCTCTGATGTCCCTCTTTGTAGAATGTTCACCTCTGCCTTCCAGGACACAGGCTGAGAATGTGAGCCCAGGGAAGACCCAGGGTCAGACGCTGGCCTTTGTGTTTGCAGCTCCTCACCCTGGAATTCTGTTTCTCAGATGTGCAGGGCTATGGCCTCTGATAAGCAGAGAGGATAGGTTCTGTCTCATTTCCCTCTGATGGTTTGCTTTGTCAAATTCTTATAGGTCCAAAGGAGAAAGAGCTCACCCCAAAGAAACTGCAGCTCCTTCTGGTGGGGAAAACAGGAAGTGGGAAAAAGTGCAACAGGAAACAGCATCCTTGGCAGGCCAGCATTTGAGTCCAAAATCAGCGCCAGAACAGTGACCTTGACCTTCCAGAAAGGGAGAGTGGGATGGAAAGGAGGTGGAGGTGACCGACACCCCGGACATTTTGTCACCTGAGGTGGCAGCTGAGAAGATCTGTGAAGTCTTGGCCTCTCCAGGGCCCCATGCAGTACTCCTGGTGATACAGGTGGGCCGGTACACGGAAGAAGACCAGCAAGCTGCCAGGCGCCTCCAGGAGATCTTTGGAGAAGGGATCCTGTCTTACACCATTCTGGTGTTCACTCGGAAGGAAGACCTGGCTGGGTCTTCAAGAGAACAACAATAAGAGCCTGGATGATCTGCATGTTGCATGTGAGAGGCAACTTTGTGGCTTCAACAACAGGGCACAAGGGGATGAGCGGAAGGTCCAGCTGGAGGACCTGAAGGAGAAAATCGAATTGGTCTTGTCGGAAAACAAGGGCCACTGTTCCACCACAAAACTTCCAAATGGTCCCAGCAAAGCAGTTTAACCACAGATCAAGGCTCTGAGGAGGAATCCCTTGAGGTGTCCTGGCTGAAAGGCTGTCCCAGATCCAGATGGCATCTGAGAGACCTGTAGGTACCTGAAGGGAGGGCATCCTGACAAGTGCAGGATGACCATAAGCAGGAGTGTCTTAGTTAGTCTTCTCTTGCTGTGAAGAGACACCGTGACGACAGCAACTCCTGTAAAAGAAAGTATTTAATTGGGACTGGCTTACAGTTTCAGAGGCTTAGTCCATTATCATCATGGCTGGGAGCATGGCAGCAGGCAGGCAGACATCGTGCTGGAGAAGTAGCTGGGAGTTTACATCCAGATCCTCAGACAGCAGTTTGAGGGAGACTCTGGGTTTGGAATGGGCTTTTTGAAACCTCAAAACCCACTCCCAGTGACATACTTCCTCCAACAAGGCCACACCTCCTAATCCTTTCAAACAGTGCCACTCCCTGGTGACCAAGCTCTCAAATCTACGAGCCTATGGTGGACATTCTCATTCAAACCCCCACAAGGCGGTGACATTCCATCAGCAGCTGCACCCTGTGTCCAGCCCTTGTTATCTGCTCCCTCTGTCTCCAAAGAGAACTTTCCAGTCCTTAGGTCAGACTGTCAGGTGTGGCAATGGGGTGAGGTCTCAGTTCAGGGGACCCAGTTACATTCTGTGTCCAGCTATGCCATTTCTTTCTGAACACATGGGTCCTCCTTACACTTAGCCCATAGCACAGCGCCCTGACAGGGGACTTTCTGTCCCACTGATATCACATTTTTATGTTCTGTGTCTAATCTCTGATACAACCAAAGTTCTTTGCTATTGTCTGACTCTTTCTTTCATGTAAGCTGCACAGCTGCTTAGCCAAGGCCATCAGGGTTGAATCAACCCAGGGACAGCCATGGACCAGATGGTTATATATTTCTTGAGTTTCATCCTTATTCATGAAAGGGGACAGACATTATGGTTACAAGAGGCCTGCCCTGTGTAGTGGGTAGAAAATGACAACCAGACAGACTAGAGAGGCCCAGACCAGCAGTTAGGCTTTCTTCCACCATGCGAGGTGTTTTCACAGGCTGTGCTCTATAACCGTGTCCTAAGCACGGATGTACTTCTAAGCTTTTAAGAGACTTTGCTGCAATGACCACTTGTGCACAGTGACTAATTCTAACCATTTCTGTCCTTCCTGGGATGAGGGGGTCAGCTAGGGCCTCTTCCATCTTTTGCGAGCTAAGAACAGTTGAACCAAATGTATGCAAGCAGACCACCGTGCAAGTGCAAACCTTGTAACAGATCTGAAGGCAGAGAGGACATGGCAGAGACTCCAAGGAGTCAGACATCTGAGGGAGCCAACCCAGAAACCTTGCCTGTGTGCTGTCTCCCTGGGCTTCACCATAGGCTCCCAATAAAGTCGTGTTCCGTGGATACCACTCGCCTGTTTGTGATTTTTGTCTGACTTGGGAAAAGAACTTTGAAATGATTGGTAACCACAGAGGCTCTGACATGCATGGCAAGATATATCCTGGGCCATGGAAGAATGTGAAGACGTACCTAGAGAAAGGCTAAATCAATACATAAATAATAAAAATGACACTGGCACTTGATCCTCTTGAACCATAACAAGCAGGTCTCATGGGCACTTCCTATGGTCAGAAAGAGTGGAGTTGGGCTAAGAACTGCAGATGTCAACCTTGGCCTAGGAGAATCTTACCCTGAGGCTACAGGATGTGGGGGTGTCTCCATCTGCATGAACTTGGGCAGAAAAGGCCATCTTCCCTCAGGTCACTCTTGTTACTTCCCCTTTTGTCTTTGGGTTCCATCCCAGTTTTAGATCTAGCTTTGGGGATATGAGAGAGCAAAATCTATTTCCATACTTCCATGAACCTCCTTCACCGTGGTAGGTGTGTGGACGGCTGAAGGGAGGGTCTGCCTGTGTGACTGAGCTCTGCAGAAAGATCAATCAGAAGGGTAAGCGGAAGGAAGGGAGTCTTTGAAAGAAGAACCTGCAAAAGAAGGCTAAGGGCTTAGACCGCAGCATGGCGGGAACCTGGTTTACACAAGAACGCTTCAACAACACAGGGATGTCTTCCTGGAGAGATGCGCCTACATATGAAGTGTAACCAACAGAAGAAGGAAGCAGGACACTGGCTCAGACCTCTTTAATTTATTTATTTCCATTTTTCAAGACAGGGTCTCATTATGTAGTCCTGGATGTTTTGAGACTCACTGTGGAGAACTCACAGATCTCTGCCTACCTCTGCCTCCTGAGTGCTGGGATTAAAGGTGTGCGCCACCACCGCCTGACTGATTCAGACCTCCTCAAAGAAGCAGTTTAACCAGCTTCTGTTCTTCAGATGCCTCTGAGCATCCGTGAGAGTCAGGAAAGGGAGTATGGCCGGCTGACGGGAAGCTAACAAGAGGAAGGAGGCACCAGGGGCCGATTCCCTCTGCCTCCCCCATCAGCTGTGCAGCAGAGGCGCGAGCTCCTCACAGAACGTTCTGGAGTGAGGCGGTAGGGACTGTGTGGGTGGACTGTCAGGACTCAGAAGATTCGGGGGTGAGGCGGTAGGGACTGTGTGGGTGGACTGTCAGGACTCAGAAGGTTCGGGAATGGAGTGGTAGGGACTGTGTGGGTGGACTGTCAGGACTCAGAAGATGCAACCTCGGGTCCTGCTAGATGCTTGTCTGCAGGCCTGAGTCCAGTCTCCTCTGTTTGCCCGGAAAGAGGAAGTCATAACCTCCCTAACGCAGGCAAGAACGTCATAAATCACTTCTTTAGCAAAAGGCAGCAATGACCCTGTTTGGAATGATGCTGGGAAGCACCTGACAAAGCGCTTGCCCTTGCTTTATTGTTCTGACTCCTCCAAACAGAAAAGAGACTGTTTCCTCAACCCTGGCTCCCAGCAGCCAGCTATGATCAATACTTTTACTTCCTTGATCCTCTCCTGCCTGAGGTAGCTGCCCCACTGAAAGCTAGGCACAACCGATCAGGCATCTTGATATCCCCAGACTGAATCATCCGCCCGGAACAAGGGTTTTTATTAAAGACAAGCCTGCCATTGTGTAACAATATTCCAAGGATGCGAGGGATCTGTAGGCAGTGTGCATCTATAGTAAGGCACTCTATTACTGAGCAGGGAGGGAAGGTACTCCTTAGCAAAGGGAATGTGCTCTACAGTCTCACTGGCATGAACGCGCTCTGTCGGGAAATGACTACAGCAGGACACACCTGCGAAACGTGGAGGAGAAAGAGATGCCCTACAGTTATGTCTGAAGTCCTACTATGCCAATCATAGCCTCTCTAGAAATAAGGCTTTGAGGGACCTTAAAAGGAGCAGCTGTCAGTCAGAGGGTGCCTGGAAAGAACGTAATTTCATGGGCAGCAACCTGAATGGCAGCATTAAACACAGGCTAGGTTGGGAGACCAGGAAAAAGCTGAACATTTTTCTTTTCTAAAAAGAAAGAAAGAATGAAAAAGAGAAAGAAAGAAGGAAGGAAGGAAGAAAAAAGAAAGAAAGAAAGAAAGAAAGAAAGAAAGAAAGAAAGAAAGGTTCTTTTGTAGTGCTCACCCATTGCATTTGGCAGCAGATTGCTAGTAATGTCTGGCCCTGTTTAAATCAATGCAATCTGACCTGTTGAGCAGCTCTAGATGGTGGTGTTGGTGCGCATTCTCCACAGTGTGCAGTCTCTGCAGCTCTATATGGTGGTCTCAGGCTTTCTCTGGCCTCGCCAGCTGTTCTGCAGGTCTCTGTGTAGGTTCTAGAGTCGGGTGGACTCTTCTTCAGACCATACTTTGCCCCTCTTCAGTGAGGCCCCTTATCTCCAGGCTCTGTAAAGTCAACATGGAGGTCTCAGCTGAGGTAAATCATGTCAGTTTCTCAGCTCAGAAAGTATCCTGTGCCCTGCCATGTTTGACTTCTCCACATCTGTTACAACTGCCCTAAAATCCCTGTGGCACATGGGGATTGCTCCCCTTCAGCCCAGCACAGCACATTGATGTTGTTCGGCGGCACCGCAGGAGATAATTCGCTACAGTGGCTTGGCAAACAAAGGGACGGTTTGGACATGACAAAGGGAGGTCCTGAGTCTGCCTGGAGCTCAGATCAGCACCTTCAGTCCTGCTTCCCTCTCTTCCTACTCAACATTCTTTGAGAGCAGCTTCCAGCCTCCGAGTCCCAAGGAGAAGCAAGAGAACAAGGCCTTTATTACCAAGGCAAAGGAAGTGCCCGAACCACAATACTTCTGCTTATGTTTCTTGGTCTTATGGCTGCCTCTAGCCACAGGAAACCCTGTGGAATGCAGTGCTCAGGTGGACACTCCTTTCTAAGCAATGGTGTGGGTCTGTGAACAAGGAAGGAGCAAAGGTGGTAAGGACAGAGACTAGTGGTGGGTGCCCGGCACGTGGCTCAGCTCTGCTCCTCACTCCGGAGCCATTGTGGTCTCATTCCCCAGGTCAGAAAATGACAAGGACCCACTGCACTCTTGTTAATTCTACATAGGGGCCAAAGATGGGTCACGAGATAAACCCTCAGAGTGGGCATCTGGTTCCAAACCACACAGAGCTTGTACCTGGCCAGACTCCTACAGGGACACCCTGGATAAAGAAATTTCAACCAGACCTAGAGAAACCAAAGGCATCTGGGGTTCTTGAAATAAGGAAATACATGCAGAGACATCCCCCGTTGAGTGCTTTGCTCCAGACCAAAGTTCAAGGGACGAGAAGGCCTGAAGTCTCTGTGAACTTTTTATTTCCTGGAACAATATGCAGAAAGACTAAATTTGAAAAGCATGTTTGTTTAATTTATTCTGTTGCATTAGCCTTTGGGTCTTTTCCTTAAGGGATGAGGGCTGCTCCCATACTGACCGCGGGCCTATATCTGATAATGCACTGTAAACACATCCCCAGGTGTGACTGATGTGGCATTTCTGTGCCATTTTAGAGGGCCTCCCCTGAGACTGAGAGCCTGTGCTGGACCAAAGAAAAGGCATTTCCCCTGCATCAGATATTCCTAGAAAATAGCAGGACATCCTACATTCCCTAGGGGAGTCCGTAAGAAATGGACACCTATGCTTCCTAGGGGAGTCTGTAAGAAATGGACACACACTAAGGACTGGGTCAAGTAAGGAAGAGTGTCATTTTTGCTCACTTTATTGCTCCGCCTAGCATGTGACTCTCCGGTCATTAATGAGAGTCCATAGCAGGGACCCACAGCCATGGTGTGCTTACGTATCTCATTCCCTTTACCTATGTGAAGGTGCCCCATAAAAGACCAGCATAATGAGACCTGTAAAGAAAGATCCCAGAAGAGACCTTCACTCGGGTCTACAAAATAGAAAGAGAAAGAATGTGTAGGTCTTTTCTTCTCACCAGGGCCCCAAAGTGAGAACAATGGTCTCTGCTTTTGAAAATAAGCAGGAAATGTGGTTCAGTGCTTTCCATCTGATACTTCTCAAGAAAGGAGCAGAGTCAGCGCTGAACTTCCTGAGCAAGGAGACACTAAGAATTTCTCATGGCAGAGTTGCCTCTTCTCCCCTGGCACGATTATCACCACACTTCCCACCTGGCACGATTCTCACCACACTTCCCACCTGGCACCAAACCAAAATTACTTTTATATTTTATAGTGTTCAGTCAGCCAAAGGTCTTGTTTAGTGACTCCAGAGTCTGGACCCCCAAAACCACCAGGAGACCAGATCTGATGTAAAGGCAGAGAGTCTTCCTAATTACAAGTTCAAATCCGAGTCTCTCATCCATCGCATGCAGGGGTGGAGCAGGGCATTCACTGGGAGGAGAACAAGTGTGGGCTGAGGGTCTGCAAGTCGCACAGTCACAGTCTCAGGATCGGCACACTCTGGACTCGGGGTACCTGTCCTAGGTTGATTGGTTAATTACAGCAGCGGGGAAAATGGCTGCATCCTTTGCTATGGTTCCTGCATTCCAACCTTCTCAGTAAAGCACGTCCAGAGCCGGCTAGCCTCACCTCTGTTTGCTTCTTTTCCATATGGGGGACATCTTGTGATTTCTTGTGGTTTTTTTTTTTTCAGTAACTTAGTGCAAGATTGGGGGCACAGCACATCCTGCTGGGTCAGGGGCCTACATCTTGGAGGGTCTTTTCTGCAGCCTGTCATGGCTACCAAATTGTCAAAGCAGAGGTCTGGGTAAGGGCTTGGGTCCTTCACTGTTTTATATTATAAAGATGCAAGTATTTAGGAGTCAGGTGTGGTGGCGCACGTCTTTAATCCCAGCACTTAGGTGGCGGGGGTAGGAGGATCTCTGAGGCCTTGAGGCCAGCCTGGTCTACAGAGTGAGTTCCAGGACAGCCAGGGCTATACAGAGAAAACCTGTCTCAAAAAAAAAACAAACAAAAATTTAAAAAATTACATTTAGTATTTCTTCAAACTCCCCATAACTGAAGCACTGCTGTGTGACATTTCCTCAGTGAGCATTTGACTGCGTAGACTTCTGAGGTTGTAGGCCACATGGATTTTACTCTGTGTTGTCAAGAGTTGGGGTAACAGAAGGATCTGAGGCACCCTCACAATCAGTGTATAGAAACCTGCAAGGTCCAAATTTCAATGAAAGACTCTGTCTCAACAACCAAAACAAAGCAGAGAGGGTCTGTGAGAAGACTCTGAGGGTAAGGGCATTTCTGCCCAGCCTGAGGACTTAGGTTGGCCCCTGGGGCTCACAGGGTGGAAGGAGGGAACCAACTCCCACAAGCTGTCCCCTGACCTCCACACACACATGCACTGTGTGCACGCACACACGTAAATAAATGTAATAAAAACATTAAAAAGGTAGAGATTGACTGAAGGAGACTTTGCTGGCTTCCACATGCACACTTACACACATGCACATGTACTAACTCACACACATACAAAATACTTGTGGGGGAAAAACATCTTAAGATCGAGGATGTGCCCAAAGGATCAAAGCAAGCATAAAGTACAGATAAATACATGACCACAGTTATTATTACACCGCTCAGTCTAGGAACTTGTGAAAAAAATGAATGGATAAGGGAAATATGAGATATACACATGTGTCTATTGAGGAAAGAATGCAATTTTATTTGCAATAGTGTTGCAAAAGGGAGCGGCAGGCTGCTTCCCGCCGCCAGGTTACCTTTTCCCAAAATAATTACATGGAAACTGTATTCTTTTAAACACTGACTGGACCATTAGTTCTAGCCTCTTTTTGGCTACTTCTCACATCTTGACTAACCCATTCTAATAATCTGTGTACCACCACAAAGTGGTGGCTTACCGGGAAGATTCTAACCACCGCCTGTCTTGGGTAGGAGAAGCATGGCGTCTGTCTGACTCTGCTTCTTTCTCCCAGCATCCTGTTCTGTCTACTCTGCCTACCTAAGCTGCTGTCCTATCAAAAGCCAAGGCAGTTTCTTTATTAACCAATGAAAGTAACACATAGACAGATGACCCTCCTACATCACAATGGAATGGATGGAGTTAATAATTATTATATTAAGTAAAATAAGCCAGACTTAGAAACACAAATATCACCGTTTTTCTCTCATAGGTAGAATCTAGATTTCTTTTAAAAGGCATGAAAGGAAAGAGAAATGATTTGGGAGAAGGAAGGAGACTAGCAGGAGGGGAGAGGAAGTAGCTGAGGAAAGGGGGAGCTGACTGGGGCTAGAGAGATGCCTCAGTGGTTAGGGGTGCTCGCTGCTATTCCAGAGGACCAAAGTTCAGTTCCCAGCATCCATGTCAGGTGCATTACAACTGCCTGTAATTCCATCTCCAGGGGAGTCAATGCTTTCTGTCTTCTTCAGGGAGTTATACACACACACACACACACACACACACACACACACACACACACACACTCACTCAAATAAACGAATAACCTTTCTTTGGTTTTTCAAAACAGGGTTTCTCTGTGTAACAGCCCTAGCTATCCTGAAACTCACTCTGTAGGCTGGCCTCGAACTCACAGAAATCCGTCTGCCTCTGCCCCCTGTGTGCTGGGATTAAAGGCCTGTGCCACCATAGCTCAGGATAAATAATCTTTTAAGAAGGGATGTGTGTTGTCAAATCACAAAACATAAATATATGAAATGTCATATATTATAATATGAAAATATTATAATTTTTATAAATATTATAAAAATATTATAGTATTATTATAATACTATAAATATATGAAAATGTCACAATGAGCTTATTTTTAATAATTAACACACAGTAATAAAATGAATAATTTTCTTTTATTTTCTTTTTATTTATTCAATGCATCTTTTGCATCATGCACCTTAATCTCATTCACTTTCCCGTCCCTTTGCATCTGTTCTCTACCACTGCAACCCCTCCCCCAAAAAAAATTAAGAGAAAAGAAGAAATAAAGGAAAAATTAAAAATCTCGTCATGGAAGCTGCCGTGTGACACAGTAAGTCACGCTGCAAACCCCTTCGGTCATATGTTTCCACTCGCAAGTGTAGGCTGCAAAGAGTCATTGGGCTGGATCGAGGCCTCTGGTTTCTGCTACACCATGGATGCTGGGCCCTCACTGAGACTCTTCTAGGATATTCTGTTGTTGCCCTGTGTTGTGGAGATCCTGCAGCTTTGGGTCTGAGGGTCTGGTCCCTTCTCAAGCTCCAGCATCATAGATGGGTGGATGTTGGGGCACCAAGTCATAACTCTGGCTCTGGGCCTGGGCTGCTGCAGGGCTGGTCCACTGACAGTTTCTCCCTGGCCTCACCACCAGAGTGAGCTCTCCAGCATTGCCCCAGCATTGCCCCAGCATTGCCCCAGCATTGCCCCAGCAGCTCCCCCTGCGTCACTGAACAAGGGGTGGGGCAGTTCTCCTGCTTTCACGTCCTCAGCCCTCCGCCCTCCGCCCTCCGAGTTGGCTCTCCCCACCTACACCATCAGGGTCAGCCCAGGAGAAGTGCAGGGCTGCTCTCACCAACTGCTGAGGAGTATGGACAGCCCTCTGGCTCTTAGGACCCGGGGCCAGCTCCTCCACCTTCCTCAAGGGCTGATGGGCAGAAGGGGGAGGGCATCTTTCCCTTGTCTATGCTACCACAGAACAGATGAGAAATGGGGACAGAGCTCCCACGCTCACTACTTTGGGGCTGGCTCACTCACCCCTCAGCCAACAGGGTTGGCCCTGTTGTGTTGCTCCAGTGAGGTGCAGGGGCCTGACCTCCAACCTTTGCAGCTGCTGTGGCTTAGAGACAGCTCTCCCCTCTTCTTACCTCAGGGACAGCTCCCCCATTTGCCTTAGGTGTTAGCGGGTGGGGAAAAAGGGGCGTCTCTCCCAGCCCATGTTGCTCTATGGCAGATGAGAAGTGGGCCTGGGTCTCTCACACCCACGTTCTCAGGGTTGGCTCACTTGTAACAAGATCAGCTCTGCGGTGCTGTCCAGATGAGCCGCAGGGTTCACGCTCCGGGGTGTTGCAGCTGGTGAAGGGATCAGCTCCCTTGTAAGGGGTGGGGGAGTTTCTTCTGCAGCCATGCACCCTGTACTAACCCTAGTGTGTTCGTCACTGTGCAGTTTTGAAAACCAAATCACTCTGCTCAGCCAGCTACTCTCGCGATCCATTTGGACAATGCCAATGAAAGAATTCCTTCATGTTACACCTCGGCTTCCACTGTCTCTTACTATTGCCTTTCCCGTTAATGGATTGTGCTTTTGGTGACCAGCATCTTTCCCTTGTCCTCACCACCTCACCACAGACGAGGGAGGCTGTACCAGCTATGTCCCTCTCACATGCTCAGGGCACTTGTACTGTGCTGTCTACAGGGTCAGCTCTACTGTGCTACCCAGGCGAGGCACAGGGCCTGTTCTCCTGAGCGCTGCAGCTGGTGAGGGCGAGGGGAGGAGGGCATCTTTTCCTCGCCTAGCCACCACATGGGATACAAGAGGGGTGTGTCGGCTCTCCCCTACCGTGCCCTCAGGGCCCTCTCAGCTGTGCCCCTGATCATAGGGTCAGCTCTATTGTGCTGGCCAGGTAGTGCAGGACCCTCTCTCCTGAGTGGCTTGAGCCAGTGAGTGGTGTGGTCATTTCTCCCTAGTGCTGCAGTCAGTGGGTACGGGGCCAGGTCTGTACAGTCCTGTCCTCTCAGCTTTTGGTGGTATAAGGGGCCAGAGATATCAACAGAGACCACAGCTGTGTCAAGCCAGGAAACCAGATATGGGTCCCAGCAACAGCCCAGACCCAGATATCAGCTTGGCACTGGGTAGCAATCAAGCCCCTCACCTCTGCCCACTCCCTTCCTCTCTCACCTCTTCAGTTATGCCTTGGTTCCACAGGACATGAACCATCCTCTCTCTCTCTCTCTCTCTCTCTCTCTCTCTCTCTCTCTCTCTCTCTCCACACACACACACACACACCATATCTTGGCTTACTCTAATGGTGTCCTCAGAAAGCATTAGTGCTACAAAGTGCTGGGTGTACCTGTGTTTTCTCCTTGGAGCCCAAAGCAAACATCCCCAGACCTGCACGTGGGTCTCACTGTCCCGCTCAGTTCTCCATGATGCTGGGCACCCTCATCACAAAGAGATCTTTATAGTGCCCGACTGCCCTGTGGGTGCAGCGCTTCTTCTGGAGCCCTATGGCAGGCTGGGACTAGAAGTGTTCGGTTGAGTTCCAACTGTCCGGGCCGCATGCCAAGAGGTCAGAGGCATTGCTGGACATATCCTAAAATAAATATTATTTTTTACAAAGAAGATAAGTGCATTGTTTACTTTGTTGCTGTAATAAAATACAATGGCCAAAGTAACTTATGGAAGAAAGAGTTAATTTTGGTTTACGATTCTAGATGGAATGTCCAGAACGGTGAGGGAAGAAGCATGAACGCGGCCAGCCAGAGCAGGAAGCTAAGAGACCACTCCAGCCATAAGCATGAAGCCCAGAGCGTGCATGCTGGGTAAGGCTAGAAACTCTCAAATGGAGTCAGATTTTTCTTTGGGTCGCCAGCTCACAAAAAGTGACGCAGAGACTTATGATTAATTATGAAAGCTCAGCCTATACCTTGGCCTTGTCCCATTAACGCTTATAACTTAAATTAACCCGTTCTATATTTATCTTTGTTTTGGCTTGTGGCTTTTTACCTCTCTTCCATCTTGAACCTCCTGTTTCCTGTGTTCTCCGGCATTTCTCCTGCACCTAAATTCGTCTTCTTTTCTTTTCTCTCTCCTGGAAGTTCTGCCTAACCTCTTCCTGCCTAGCTATTGACCATTTGGCTTTTTATTAAACCAATCAGAAGGCACCTTGACAAAGACATCTTCACAGTGTGCAAAAAAGATTATCCCACAACACTCAAATCTGTCCCCAGTGATGTCCTTCCTCCAGTAAGGATGCACGCCCATAATCTCTCCAAACAGCACCGCCGACTGGGAACCAAGTGTTCAAATACCTGAGCCTATGAGGGACATTTCTCGCTCAACTACCACAATATGTAACAAAATAGGTTTGACTGAATTATATAAAAGAAAAGGGAAATTATGTCACTTGCATAAATATGGATGGAATTATAGGTTATCACATCAAGGGAAAGAAAGCAGATTCAGAAAAGCAAATATTGGAAGTTTGCTCCCAAATATTGAAGCTAAAATGTTTTAAGAAAAATGAAGCAGAAACGGGTATGTTTGGGGAAAGGAAGAGGAGTAGAAGGTGGGCAAAGAGAAGAGAAGGCAGCATGTAGGTGTGAATGTGATCAAGGCATGTGTAGAAAATGTCAGAAAGTCAGCCTCCACCGTCAGTCACATTCAGAGAATCCGGCTCGATCACATGCTCCATCAGTCCCACTCCAACTGGCCTTGGTGATCTCCCATTAGATCAACCCCACCATCACAGTGGGTGGATGCACCCCCACGGTCCTGACCGCCCTGCTCATGTTCTCCCTCCTTCTGCTCCTCATCAGGACCTCGGGAGCTCAGTCCAGTGCTCCAATGTGGGTCTCTGTCTCCATCTCCATCCCTCACCAGGTGGCGCTGGGCTTTGATTCTACTGCATGGACGGGCTTTGTGGGAGCCTTCTCTGTTTGGATGCTCACCTTCCTGGACCTGAGGGGAATGGGGAGGACTTTGGACTTCCCATAGGGTAGGGAACCCTGAATGCTCTTTGTCTGGGAGAATTAGGGGGAGGAGGAGTGGGGAGAGGGGAGGGGAGGGAAGTGGGGGGAGGGGAGGAGGTGGAAATTTTTAATAATAAATAAATAAATAATGAATAATAAAAAAGAAAATGTCAGAAAGCATTTACTTCACATATTACTTCACATAACCAATACATGGAAAAAGAAACGTGGAGAAACAAATTCTGTCACCTTGTACTCTTTAGGTTAAAAGAAAATGAGCATTCTAAAATGCAGATCAGCCCTGTGCTAACAGGGTAAATATCAGAGTAGTTGGTATTACTACAGCCCAGACTCTTGCTTAGCTGGGAGCTCTGGAGGCATCCCCCAAAGGAGAGGCATGAGCCTTACACCACTACTAATATCTGCCACTCATGGTGATGGTGATATTAACTACGCACCCACGCATGATAAATAAATTAAGGAGCATATGCTTCATTTCTTTGTCAGTTTACATATGCTAGAATCATCTCAGAAGAGGGAACCTCATCTGAAAAAATTCTCCATCAGACTGGCCTGTAGTTCTATGGGGCATTTTCTTGATTAATGACTGATATAGGAGGGTTCAGCCCACTGTGGGAGTTGCCGCCTGTTGTGGAATAATACTTTAACTATGTAAGGGTATTTTACATTTGTTTATAATGTGGATATTACTTTAAATAGACAAAAATGCGTTACATTTATTTATGCTGCATTTTTTGAGTATGTAAAGATACGTGGCATTTGTTTTACCTTGTCTGCCTACAGCACCTGATTGGTCTAATAAAAAGATGAAGAGCCAATAGCTAGGCAATGGGATGATACATCAGCCTTAGGGGCAGAGAGAATAAATAGGAGAAAGAATCTAGGCTTGAGAGAGAAGATAACAAGGAAGAAAGAGAGTGATGCACTCAGGGCCAGCCAGACACAGAGTAGGGCATACAGAATGAGAGAAAGGTAAAAATCCCAGAGGCTTCATCCCATAGATGAAGAGAAGCAGGTTAAATTAAGATACAAGAGTTAGTGGGACAAGCATAGGATAAGGCTGAGCATTCTTAACAAATAGTAAGTCTTCATGCCATGATTTAGGAGCGGCTTGGTGGCCCAAAAGAAAGCCTGCTACAGCCATTCTTGGACAAGTGACCCCGGGTTATATTTAGAATGTTAAGCTAAGCAAGCATGGACAACAAGAAAGTAAGCAGCAATCCCCCATGGCCTCTGCATCAGGCTGTCTCCAGTTTTCAGTCTCGAGTCCCTGTTCTGGCTCCCTTCGTGATGGATTATACACTTTAAGATGAAATAAACCCTTTTCTCACCCGAGTTGCTTTTGGCTATGTTGCTTATGACAGCAAACTGCCTGGTCCTCTACACCCTTTCCACCCCTCTTACGTGATGCTCCCTGAGCCCTGGACGCAGGAGTTGTGGGTGGGTGTGTATCAGTTAGCACTGGGCACACCACGGCGAGTTGTTCTCTGCATTTTGACTACTGACCTTCCGAAATGGTCACCTGCTGCTGGAAGCAGCTTAGAGAAACCAATTTTAAGATATGAAAGTGTTTAGGTTAAGGCTTCACCCCAGCCCCTGGCATCCATTTATCCAAAGAGTCTGGAATGTTGGGTTGGAAGTTCCATCCCAAGCCCCCTCCCCTGGGAGGTGCCTCAGTCCAGACAAACACGTCGTTTTCCAGTCTTCCTTTCCTGTTTCCTTTCTGGGGAGCTGGAAGGCCACCCAGGAGCATTGGTATCCATTAAAGTTGGGCTTTTTCTAACTCAGTTTGATTTGGTCTGACTTGAATTACTGTGTTGGCAGAGATGTTGATTGGGGCGCAAAAACTTTTCAGAAAGAACAAAGTGAGCTGTGAGCTGTCACGGGTGACCACTTGGAAATGTTAGGACAACCACTGTGGATTCCCAAGAAACTAATAAGTGAGGATAACTCGACTGGCTTCGAACTCACAGAGATCTGCTTGCCTCTGCCTTCTGAGTGCTGGGACTACAGATGTGCGCCACCACCGCCCAGCTAAGGAAATAATTTTTGCTACCTCTATATTTGAGGGACACTTATGTACCAGAAAAGGCTCACAGGCTTCAGAAATCTGAGGTACATAACACAATAAAGGTGGAAAAGGGTCGTGGTGTTTGACCAGTGAGGAATTGAGAACGTGGCTCAAAGATTTCAGAGCCAAAAAGAGGACGGGACCAGGAGAGTGACTGAGCCAGGACAGCACTTGTCTCACAAGCTTGGGAACCTGAGTTTGACTCCCAGAACTTGTGTGAAAAGTTGCATGTGGTGGCCTGTACTTGCTAGGGAGGTGGCAGTGACAGCATCCTCAGGGGGCACAGGACAGCCAGGACAGCCTAACCAGCGAGCTCCAGGCCAGTGAGAAGTACCGTTTCCAGGGAGGTGGATGGCATCACTGAGGATGAGACCTGAGATCATCTTCTACCCTCCACATATGCACATGTACCTGCACATGCACAAACATGCATGCACACATACACACTCATACACATATATGCATATGTACCCACATGCATAAGAAAACAAAATAGGAAACAAGGAGGTGCCATAGGGATAGAGTAAGTATGGTTGAAAAGGTACCTAAAACTTCTGCCAATAAAACAAAATTCATCACTACTATTACAACAGCATTGTTCTCCAGGACAAAACAGTCTCCAATTCTGAACAAGGATGAGGCAATAGAAAAGTTTATTATAAAAATAATAAGCAAATTAGCTGGGCTGGGCAGAAGCAATATATGCTGGATGTATTAGGGTACAGGGTGGGGTTGGAGCAATCAGATCAATTCTCAAGGAGAGAACTGACTTCATCAAACTGGTTAGAAGGTTGACAGAGAGCTTCTAGAGGCACACCTGAGCACATGGAACACTGCAGTGTTGTCTATTAAATTGCTAATTTGTGCTCATCTTGAATTAGTTGACTTTTAAGATTTGCTTTGCTCTCAAAGGATGGATAGGGAACAATTTGAGGCCATTCATGAGTTTGTAACTAAACAAACTGACACTCACTGAGAACTGTACAGTTATACATTTCTGCCTAAACATTACCTCATGCAAAGAATTGAACTTCTAATAAAACATAGAAGACTGTTGTCAAGAAACTGAGCAGCAGTGTATAGAAGCTGCAGGTGAAGATTGTTGTTGAGAATCCAGAGGAGGATGAATGGGAACATCTTACAGTCGTTGTCTAGGGGCTCCTGGGTGACTTTCTCTGAGGAAGAACACAAGGGTGGCAAGCATTAATAATTATGCTTTTGAGTTGTACTAGAGGATTGGTCAGCTTTTTTGCTAAGTCAATTGAGCATCCGCCAACTGCCAAAGGTGCCTTTTACTCCTTAGTTCTGGAGGACGGAAACTAGAGCATTTGGACAGTGAGGGGTGGGCACAGTTATCAGGAAGAAACGCAGAAAGCAGATGAGGTCTAGACTTACAGACCAGGTCTTAGTAATCTTGCATGAACTGACCGATGATAAAGTAAGCAACCTCCCATAGTTTTAAGATCATATCAAGTATCCCGTTTTGGTTCTCCACTTCCCTCCTAGCATTTTGCTGTCTCTCTGTGTAGTAAGCCTCTGTTCTGGAGAACTCCCTCTCCATCTGTGCCTTTCTCCTCCCCCTCTCCAGCTGACCTTTCAGGTCTCTAATCTGCTCTCCATACTCACCTCTTAGCCGCGCTCGCTCTCTTTCCAGCTCCTCTCTGTAATGCTCTTGCTTCTCCCGGGTTTGTTTCTGAATCCCTTTCTCAGCACTTCCGTACATCTTGTTGGTAAAGCAGCTTCCTCCATTTTCCATCACCATGCACTGGACCAAGGTCAACAGCTGTGTCCTTTGGTCCTCCTGTTCAGTTCCTGATGCTTTGTTGTTGAACAAACAGTAGCAATCCTCGAACTTACAGATCAGCTTTTGAATGTCTTCAGGAGCTGACTTTAAGTACTCATGGATATCGGTGTCTTCCAAGTCATCCTTCCCAGTGAGCAAGAAAATCATGAAACTTAAAGCCGTCTTTCCAAACATACTTAGAATCTTCTGTGTAGCCTTATGATCTTCCACGGTGTAACGTCCCAATGGGACCACCAGGAGCAGAGCATGAGGCCCTGGGGCGGTCAGGGCAACACAGTGAGCCATCTCTTTCTGTCTCTTTCTGCGTGTCAGCATTTGTTACCTCAGTGTCAAAACACCAGGCGTATCCACGACAACAAGCTTTCTCCCACCCCAGGTGCTCACCCTTTTCTCACAGACCTTGGTAATGGATTTGGCACAAATGCCAGAATAAAACACCTTCTCCCCGAGGATGCTGTTCCCTGTTGCACTCTTTCCTGCTCCCGTTTTTCCCAGTAAGACAATTCTCAGTTGGGAATTTTTCTGGTCTTGGTCTCCAAGCTCTAGAACATCAAGGAAATAATCCAAGTGTTAGACGCAGTCCCCAACAGTTAAACACGCAGTCCTGCCACCCAGAGCCTGCTCTCTGGCTTCTCTGCTTGCAGGCTTTCCCCCTGGCTGCCATCTCTGCCCTCCCAGGGTCTACAAACAACCTCTGGGTAAAAAGGCCATCGTGAAGGACTTGACAAAGAGATACGGGTACTTCCCTTGATCTCTTTTCTTCACTGCTTATTTTCAGTATTCTTTTGAGCTCTTCATTCTGACCCTTTGTGGCTTCTAAGCCCCCAGAAGAGAAAATAAAAGTTTCAGAAGAGAACTGTGAGCTGCTTCCAACAACTACTCCCACCAATGGAATCCTGCACAGAACACAGAGGATGCCTTTGGGGCATCTGCTGGGAAGAATGTCTTCTTTTCTGATTTATATTTAAAAATGACTTGTTCTCCTTACAGCTGAGAGTCAAGTAGGGGTGATGTGTATACACACACACACACACACACACACACACACACACACACACACACACACACGTGAACAGAGCAAGAGCGCGAGGAGAGTCCAGAGAAGTGGGAGAGCCGAGAAACACGAGGGCAGCGGCTGGCATGGCTTTATCCTGCTCACGTGGGAACTGCCGGTCAGGACAGGAGAGACTGCACCCCTCCATGCCTGCCTCCCCCCTTCTCCACGCCCTCCACCCCATGGCCCCCACACTCCCACAGCCCCCGCACTCTCACACCCGCACATCCCTGCACCCCCACTTCCCCGCACCCCCGCAGCACTCCACCTCCTCTCACTGTAGCTGGTCCTGGGCTTTCCGGTTGTGAATCCCACACCATCGTACTGGGCTGCCATTGTCGCTTGACTCTCTGCAGATAAAGAAAGAGCCGTGGCATTTTCTGAAGAACACTTGGAACCCAACCTCCTGTAGCCAGCATTGAACTTTCAGCCATAAACTCCAGACCTTCATTTCTCCTGCTCCACTCCCCAGACCTCACCTCAACACTCCGTTTTCAGGCTTTTCTTTTTCTTACACGAACTTAAATACCTGCAGCACCTCCTTGCGCTTGTCCTGGCCCGGGTCCTCTCTCAAGCGGTTGAGCGCTGTAGCGTTCCAAACTGCTGCTTCTGCTTCTCATTGTGGCTTTTGCTCTTTCAAGGGCATCTTTTATAAAGGTTGGCCAGGATAGAAGCCCTGGCCTACCCCCCACCTCTGGAATGACTCCTTGGTGAATGACGTCACCATACAGCCAATGGCTCTTGCCGGGCTATGGGCTCCATTACAGCCTTTGCTTCCTGCCGTGCATCAGCCCATTCCAAATCCTATTGACGCTTTTTTCATAAATCTCATTTGTCTCTTTGTCTCTACCTTGACACGGATCAAATCTACTGCCACTTGTCTTCAGGGTAACAGGCGGTGCTCAGATGCCCTAGCAAGAAGACTCCTGCTGCACTCCTGAAGCCTGGCAATTGTGTCTCATGCCCCGCATTTACTACAGCAGAACAGTCGCAACACAGTGTCAACTGCTTTATTAGGACCACAGTCACTCAGCATCAAAGAGATACATTGTCTAGACCCCAATCTCCCTCATAACTATGTTGTCCTGTTTGGATGGAGTATTAACATCTTTCATTTCCTGTGGAAACAGGAAATAAGCAGAAAAGAAGCTCAAACCATTCCAAATTCTAGTACCCTATAAATAACCACTTCAACGCTTTGGTGTAACTGGACTTCTGGCTCATTTCTTTATGTCTGAAGGTTAGGTGGATAGAAGACAGCTTCTCATAAACTAGAAAGGGAAACCACTCAGCTCTTAATAGAGCTGGTACTGGTGATTAACAAGGAGAGGCAGCAATGGAAAATTTCTCAAGACTTTCTGGGGGAGGGGAGGAGGAATCTTTAGACCCAGTTCATATAAAACCAGGACCTGTGCTTGGGTAGGTGCTGGTTTCATTGACTAAGTTCTCCTCCCTCGGGCTATGAGCAAATATCCTCTACTGGCTTCGGAACTGTGGTCCCAATGGATGCAACTTAGACCTCCCTGGAGGGAGCTCAAGTCTTCCATAAACCCAGGAAAGAATGGTTCCCCAAGGAAGCAGCTTGAAGGAAAAAGATAAGAGCCAGTGAGGACCCTGACCTGTATGCCAGCTTATAGGAGGACACACGCCAAGCTGTGCCTGTTAGGGATCCCTCACCCCTACCTTTTCTTCTCCTGCTCCCACCAAGCTGATTCATTCATTCTCTTCCTGGAAGAGTCAAGTTAAAAATATTTTTTTGACCAGTGAAGGAACACTTTCTCCATAAAGAAAGTACCCTTGCAGCAATGGATTCTGAAATATACATAAATTTGTAGATTCAGCCTTCAGTACGGATTACAGCCTAGAATTAGCAGGCAGGAAACAGGGACCAATAAGTACAATTTCCAAGAGCAGGTCTGCTGGGGGTTTTACTAGACACAGCCAACAGAGCAGCCCCCTCCTCACTAAGTTCAACACTCCCGCACTGCACCCCGATTCTTACCTGGAAAGGTCCTGTGGCCTTCTCTGATTTTACAGCAGTGCTGAACCCAGAAGAGAGAGCCGCAGAGAAAGCGTGGGGGAGAAAGTGTGGAGAGGGGAGCACACAGGGACCCACCCATCTACCCAGTGGCACTGCAGAGCTCCACAGTCCGGCGTTCTGTGCCATCTAACAAGGCACCCATGGGCCACTGGTAGCTACTGGACACTCGAGATAGGAAAAATCAAATGAGAAATAAACTATTTCAATGGCTTGGTTGGCAGTGACACTGACTCTCCTGTGTGCTTATTTAAAAATTAGCGGGGATGAGGGGCTCCTTGTCACTAGTATATAGTAGAATCTACTTTTATTTGGGGTGTTTAGATATTTTATGCTTCAGATAATTCACTATGTGACTAGATTTCAACGGGATCCCTATATCATACCTTCTCCCCTCCAGGCCCAGGGAGCATCAGAAAAGAGATTGGAAAGATTGGAGGCAGCGGGCATCTGCAGGAAACAGTACTTGCTCGATAGGACAAGGCCATTTCACTGCAGGGAGAGGGGACATGAAGAACTTGCTAGATAGGACAAGGACATTTCACTGCGAGGAGAGGGGACATGACGCTGGGAGGGAAAGGAGAGGGCTAGAGAAGGAATTAGAGGGGGGAATGCGGTGGAATTGATCAAAACACATTACATGAATTTATAAAGTTCTGTAACGATAAAACTGATCATCTTGCTACCAGCCTCTCTCTGTCTAATCTGTTCTTTCTCTCCCTTTCTCTATATTCTGCCTACTTCATGGCTGATTCTTGTGTGACTTCGCTTTTATCCCTTCTTATTCAGGACAGCCCTTGCTTGGTGGGTGATTCAGGGTCCATGCAAACCTCTTCAACTTGGACTAGTCTCCTTTCAAATTCTGTGCAGCCTTCCCACATGTATAGCAGAAGAGCCTGGCGTCTCCACACTATTGTTATGTGCTTGACAGCTGCATGTTTTTTACCCAAGGGACTGCCAGCCCTGGGTAGTTACTCAGACCGAGATCAGCAGGGAGAACTTAGATTTTGGATCCTGTTATGGGAGTAACTTTTGTTGTCTTAACCAATAGTCGCTGAAATACGAGCCCACAATGTAGCGGGGAGCGACTTTCGCTCTGTCAGCCAATAGCTGTTGAAATACCAGCCCATTGGGGCATGGTATATTTTTCTTTTAAAAAGAAAAGCATATCCGAAATAGGCCCTCTTGGTTTCGGCTCTTGGTTCCGGTGCTTGCTCCTGGCTCCTGCTCCCGGCTCCTGCTCCAGCGACTAGGCTCCCTTTCTGACGGTTTATGGTGTATGTAAGTTTTACCCCCCGCCAAATAAATAACCCCTTAAAACATAACTGATATGGGATTGATTCGTTAATAATTGGCGCCCAGCGTTTGGTTTAAGAACTGCCCCACCCCCCCACCCCCAGCTCGGCCTCCCAGGATACATGGGATAATAGCTTTGTACTTATGAGTTATTGTTTTTAGACAAATATATTGGTATTGATTCTTATATATTAATACAAACTTAAATTATGTTGACTATTTTAGGCATACATGCTTCTACCTCTGTTTAAAACATTTTTATGTATTGACATATATATATTGTATTGATATATGTATATTTTACCATATTGCATTGTACACTTCTACCTCTGATTAAGATACTTATATATTGTTTATGTATTGATATATATATTTACCAATTGCAATATATACTTGCACATTGTTTATACTTGGAGGTCATATTGTCCCCATTTATTACACAGTTGTTTACTATTTCAGTCTTTAAGTTAGATAGATATTGAAAATAATATAGATCAATAGTCATCTAAATTTGTCATTTATAATTAGACTAATCAGGTTCTTTAGATACATAGACATTATATTCAATATAGATAGATAATCTTCAACCTCTTCAAAGAGCTGTAGAAAATGGCCTTTAATCTAACTCAGAATTCTATGGTAGGGAGACACAATCGCTCCTGGCAACACTGATCTATTCCCGAGAGAATGTTGAGCACCAAAGACACTCCACCTGGAACCTTTCTTCTTGGCAGAACTGGCCTTTGGGTAAAGAAATGCCCATACCTCAACTACTGACAGAGTTACAGAGTATCCATAAATGGATAAAACAGGACTGTCATATCCTGCCAAGACAGGATAAGATAGTTTTAAAAAGTTCCTTGCCTTTAAAAATGATATGTCAGTTACGTTAGGCCAAAGTTGGTTGCTTCAACGCTACAAACATGATTTTGGATGTTTGCCCAGGTAGCCAGTTGTCTATGTGATTTGTTACATGTTCTAAAAATTTGATTACACTTCCTAATTACTCAGATAACATTATTTCCCTTCTCAGATCTTTGATGGGATTAAAGATTATATAAACATAGTTACTTTCTTTTCATGACATGGCCAAGTTATTTCTTATACAAGACTTAAGCTAGTTAAAATAGGATATTTATATTTATTATATATAATTATGTAGATTTATACTTGCTGTATATAATTTCGTAATAGGCTTAAAACTCTCTTACTTAAACAAAAGGGGGAGATGTTATGGGAGTAACTTCCGCTGCCTCAACCAATAGTCGCTGAAATACGAGCCCACAATGCAGCGGGGAGCGACTTCCGCTCCGTCAGCCAATAGCTGCTGAAATACCAGCCCACTGGGGCATGGTATATTTCTCTTTTAAAAAGAAAAGCATATCCGAAATAGGCCCTCTTGGTTCCGGCTCTTGGTTCCGGTGCTTGCTCCTGGCTCCTGCTCCCGGCTCCTGCTCCAGCGACTAGGCTCCCTTTCTGACGGTTTATGGTGTATGTAAGTTTTACCCCCCGCCAAATAAATAACCCCTTAAAACATAACTGATATGGGATTGATTCGTTAATAGGATCCTAAGACAAAAACCAGGAGCGCTGGGGACGGGGAGTAGTGGGTCAGATTATCAAAATTTTCCACCTCCAAGAAAACCTATTTATTTGGTGACTTTGATTCCCCAAGTTCATCTGTGAAATCTGGTAACTGGGCACAGAATCACCAAGCAAGCAGGTGGTGCTGAGATAGGTCCTGACCAAGTCCCTTCTTCACCGCAGGCCTTCTAAACCCCCCCCCTCTCGCCTTTCCATGTCCTGCACTATGCACTGAAGGGCCTGTGAATGCACAGCCTTCAGTAACCAGGATGTTGGGAGCCAAAAAGTTCCCATAGGAAACTGGCATTTTCTCCAATCTGTGGACTCCCTTCTCCTACCTACACAGATCTCCAGTCCACCTCATTAGATTTGTGGCAAAGAGACCAGAGGGTGATTTTTCATTGCAATTCTCGAGAATCTGTGAACTCTACAGCTGATGTCAGCCCATTTCCCAGAACCCTCTGAGTTGGTGTTAAATGTATCTGTGCCCTTGCAGCGCTTCCTGCCTGCATCAGCCACAGACATTTCCTGTCCCATCGCCTTCACCTGTCATCTTACTCATCACTTGAGTTGTGGCCATTTCACGGGGGAGAAAGGTGAAGATGGAGGGACCATGAGTCCTGACAGTAACATGAGATGGTACCGAAAACAGGCAGTGAGGAGAGGTTGAGAGAGGGAGAAACATCGCGGAGAGACCTCAGCACACTAAACTGTGCTCAGGGATCTCCCTGGATGTCACTTTGGACCGGCATTGACCACGACAGAGCTTTCCTCTGCCTTCCACCCGAAGAAGGAACCTAGCTATGGCCACTCACAGCTCAGTCTTGAGTGGCTGTGTTGTGTGCACAGTGACTCTGCCTTTTAGAATCATTGTGATAGGAGTTTTAAAAGTCTAAACTACTAATAAAACACCTAGCAAATTCATTATAAACATTATCAAAATTTCCCTGAAGAGTTGGACAGTAGGTAGGAAGGAGCACTCACTGCTCCACCTGAGGACCCGGGCTGGATTCCCAGCACTCATGTGATGACTTAGAACCATCTGTAACTCCATTTCCAGGGGATCTGTCCCCTCTTCCAGTCTCTGTGGGTTCCGTTTGCACACATACATACAGACAAACACCCATCCATATAAAAATTTTAAAATAATCTACATGAAGTTCACAGCTGGGACATCCCATTGATGCCATGACTCCCCTAACAGATTCTGAAACTGGTGAGGGTGGGGGAGCACAGTCTCCAGCTTTTGTACCCACTGCTGAATGCTCCAGCCTCTAATGTATTGTCTCAACTTCATGTCACATGAACAGTCCAAGTTCAATTCTGTGAGACATAAAGCAAAACAAAGTGTCGTAAATGTGAGGGGGAAAATTTGTAGGGAAGAAGAGGGAGGGGAACCAGAGAAACAGAATTCATTAATAAAAACAAAAAAATCAAAATAATTTTTATTATTAGTTATGTTGAACCCATAGTTATTTAAAATACCCCTGAGAATACAGAATGGCCTCGAGTGGGTCTGTGTAACTACATGAAAGTCTGTTGTGCATTTTGTTCTGCTCTGTTCTATTTCCATTTAACAACGCATCAGAGATTTCAAAGTCAAGATAGGTTGGCTTACGGAAAGTCAATCACACCATAACACTGTGGTCTAGCACCTAGACCATGGCAGTGTTGTATACATCACGGGCAGCCTCACATCTAACACGCTTACTAAAGGGATCGCAGGGCTATCAAGGGTATAAAAGTAAGAGCGCTAGCAGTGATGAGATACTTGACAAATACCCGGAAGAGGGGAAGGTGTGAGTTCACTGGGCAGAGCACGGACATCCCGCACAAGCCCAGAAAGCCTAGAGGTGGTGGCGACAGACTGAAGCACAAAACTCAGCTAAAGTTCAGAAACGCCAGCTATAAAGAACCAGGCTACTAGAGGATGAAGTTGGGGTGTGTGGAAACAGTGGGACCTATCGTCTCCTCCTTCCCCCTAATCCAGAGAACTGCACTTCATCTCCCAGGAAGATGGTGAGAAGGTTTTCAAAAGATGAGAACATCTCACAGAAGCCTAGGACATCCCAGCACTTAAGGGTTCATTCCGCAGCCATCTGTGCCTGCTCTGCCACCTGTAGCAAAACTCTGAGGCCTCTGCAGAGCTTCCAGACAGCTTTCCTAGTGACTTAATCTTGAGCGTGTGAGCGTGTGCACGTGTGCGCGTGTGCGTGTTTGTTCAGGAAGCAGACACTGCCCTCAGGAGCTCACAGCAGATATGGACCTGGGCAGGGGAGGAGCTCCTAAGAACCTGCCCACCCTGCTGAGCTGGTAACTGCTGAGGGATTCTGGAGGAGAAAGAGTCCTTGTCTTCCACTGTGTCCTCCTCATCAGCCCACCAGGCTCTGATAGATTGTTTGAACCCTGTTGTCACCCACACGAAACTAGTTAAACTCAGTGGATCACAAAGCAAAAAACATACCAAAACAAAAAGACATGAATTCAATTCAAACACATTATATGCATGTATGTATGAAATTGTCAAAGAACAAATGTCATTAATATAAAAGAATGACATTTACATCACCATCTCAACTTGTCCCAAAATTTTGAGAGCAGTCCACATATCTTCTTGAAGATATACTCAAATGTGTTCTCTTCAGCCTTTTCCTTTAGATTTTTCATTTTCTCATCATAATTTCTCTTTGCAGAATCAATACGTGCCTTCTTTTCTTTTTCTGATTTATGAGCACATTCCCTTTCTATTCTTTCGATTTCATCATTGAGTTCCCGAGCGTAAGTTTCCTCCAGTTCCCTTAGACAGTGTCTCAGCCTTCTGTCTATGTCCCCGTAGATCTTTTCAGAGAAGTAAGAGCCCCCGTTCCTGTCCACCATTTGCTCTATCAGCCCTACCAGCTGTTCTACTTGCTCTCCTCGCTCTGCCTCTCTCGCTTTGTTATTAAAGGCCAGGTAGCGTTTCCCACACTGTGCGATGACATTATTTAGCTTGTCATTTGACTCGCCTAAAAAGTCATCCAGGCTCTTGTCCTCAAGGTCATCTTTGCGAGTAAACAAGACTATCATGTACTTCATGGCCGCCTCCCCAAAAAGACTCTTGATCAGGGAAACCGTATTCTGCTCTTCCTCCGTGAAGCGGCCCAGCTGCAGAACCAGGATGATGGCGTGAGGCCCAGGGCAGGAGTAGAGGACACACTTGCTGATTTCTGTACATGTGGTTTTCATGGTCTCCTTGGTGTCAAAGAGCCCAGGGGTGTCAACCACAACAAGGTTTTTTCCCTTCCATTCCCTGGATGCCTTCTGGCAGGTCTTGGTAACAGCATGGGCAGAAGCCTTAGACTCGAATTCACGTCTCCCAAGGATGGTGTTCGCTGTGGCGCTCTTTCCGCTCCCAGTTTTTCCTACCAGAATGATCCTCACCTCAGTGTTTCTGTGGGCGGCCATGTTGAGGCAAGCAGATTCTGAAGACAGGGAAAGAGAGCAAAAAGGCCTATTAGATAAATTGGAACAGCCCCAATCCTTTCTTTTTTTTTTTCCTTTCCTAAAATTTCGCAATGTTCTGTTGTCTTCATGCATCCCTATAGAGACAGAAAGATGAAACCCTACAAGGGAAGGAATAGAGAAATCAAACGGTTCCTCCATAGAAGAATGTCCCTCCGTGGGATTCTGCAGGGAAATCCCAGTGTTCCTGTAGAGGTCGGAGGATGACTTTGTGGGGTTGGCTCTCTCTTTCCACCTTTCCGTGGGTTCTGGGCACTGAACAGCGGTTGCCGGGCTTGTGCAGGAAGAGCCTTTACGTGCTGAGCCATCTCAGTAGCAACAATCCTCCCCAGAATCCTCTTAAAACCCTGATGATCTGGATGCCATCCAGAGTAAACTGTTTCTGACAACACAGAAAAGACTTTTCTACTCCTGCTACCAGCAGACACGCCATCCCCAATGCCAGGTCTGAGAGAGTGCACCCAAATCTCTGCTGAGCCCAGCCAGGAGCATGGACCGGGATGACCACAATGTCCAACAACTTACTACATATTTTATGAGGAACTAGGAGGAGCATTCTAAGACTGCAAACATAAAGAAACAGTAGGAGAGCCGAAGGGCTCACTCCCCTGACGTGACCAGTGCACAGCTTAATGTGTGTCTTTAAATATCACAATGACACCAGAAATATGTTCACTTATCATATGTTAATACAAAAGAAACACAACATACACAAAAACAAAAGCAAAACAAACAAACAACAATAACAACAGGACAGTTAGAACAACCCTAAATAATGAGAGAATCATTAGGGCTGTCACCGCCTTGAAACTGAGGCGGTGAGGCTACAGAAATGCAGTAAGGAAGGAACACGGCAGACAGGAAGCCTGGGCCGCAGGCAACTGCAGGTTCGTCCTGCGCTGTGCCTTCAGAGCAGCTAATGTGGCTTTCATGGTCCTACTCCACATCACCCCAGGATCTGTTGTCCAGTGGGAGGAGTCAGCACCCTGGATTCTAACTCTCCTCTGCCCAGGATGACGGGGGTCTAAAAGTCATCATACTTTCTGAGGAAAGAAGTGACTTAGACAAATGATCTGAGCTGTCTCGGGGCTCTGAAGAGCCTGCCTTGAGGGCAGAACTTTCTGAGAAGAGTGTCGGCTACACTCTGTGTCCTGCGCCACAGCTACCTACGGGCTGATGAAGGCGGCAGCTTGTTAACTGGGCTCCTTGTACCCCTGAGCCCCCACCACTCCCACCAGCAGCGCCCTCCCTGTGAAGCTGCAGACACAAAACGTGCACCCTAACAGATGCCCCATCCCCCACTGCCTCTCACACTTCCCTCACCCTGTCCAACCAGACTCACCTTCTTCGGGAATTGGTGAGGGTTCAAGGTTTCTGTGAGGGCCTGTTTGAGCCTGTGCTTGTGCTTAACTGTGAAGCAAAACCGCTGCATTCCCAGCCGCCAGGCAGGAAGTTCTATGGGCGGAGTCAATGAAGAGACCGTTTGCCTTTAAAGAAGCAGAAATATTGTCCTCTAACTTACGGGTGCTTCTGCTTTGTCGAGGTTAAGCCTTCTGTCTGCGTGTCTGCTATAATGCCAAGAATTTCAAAATCTGTTTTAAAAAATGTTTTGGATTGGTTTCTGTTTTTTGAGACACAGTCTCAGGCTAGTCTTGAGTTCACTATGTATTGAGGATGACTGGTGTGATTTATTTAAAAACAGCGAGAAGAGAGTCACACCATGCAAAGGGGCTCACATAAGAGATTTAGTGGAAGAGGAGAGAGAAGGGGCAGAGAAGGGGGCAGAGAAGGGGCAGAGACAGGTCCTGGGGGACAAGAATAGTGGGAGGGAGGGAGGGAGATAGGAGGTGGATTAGGCCCACCTGTTGAAAGGGAACGTAGTGAATGTGCACAGGAGGCGCTCTTGTGGCCGCAGCTGAGGACATACCCTGCCAGCACCCCAAGGGCAGGCCAGTCCAGGGGCCTGAATACTAACAACCCTCCCTCTTACTCATCATAGAAAGGTGAGGAGTTAGAAAGGGGTAGCAGGAGAGGTGGGAACGAGGATGCTGTGTTCCTGAGACTCTGCTTCCTGTTGACCTGGGGGCATCACTAGCTTTGGGGGACCTGAGAAAACTGGGGGGTGATGACCATGTCCTGGAGCAACTGGCTGTTTCACTTCACTGTCCTGGCTCTGTGGAACCATCAGGTGCCGCTTGGACCTAGCAAAATGCTGTTTGAGCTGGATCCAAGCCAGTCCCCTAGGGCTTAAAGCATCTGATCCTTTCCCATCACCACAGCACCACAGAGACACTCTCCTCCTGTCCTGGCTACCAGGAAGCACAGGTGGGTGGCTACTGAGGGCAGTCACTGTAGAGTTAGGACCTCTGGGGTGCTGCTGCAACACTAGCTAATTAGGAATGGCCAGTGGGTCTCCAAAGAACATCCCAATGGGAGCGAGGAGGTATGCATGGTGACACAGTTCCCATGAGTGAGGCAGAGAAGACCCGAGCTCTGCAGTTCCTAGCATCCCAGGAATTCAGAGAGGATTGAATTCGAGACAGCACAGGCAGCTTATTGATTCATCAAATACAGAACAGGAGTCAAGGGCTCTGAGCCTGAGAGAGACACAGGTGTCTGGTACCAGGACTTTGAGAAAAGCCAGAAGGCGAGGAGGGGCTGTGCTTGAGAAATGAAGCCTCACACTCAGGGGAATGGTCAGAGTAGCCTCCACCAGAGACCCAGTTGCCAATATTGAATGGAAGGCGAAGCCACCAGTGGATGAGCAAGCAGATTGGTTGCAGGTGGAAGAGAGCGGATCTGTTGAGGGTGGAGCAGGTGGGTAGGGTCCCAGTGTGATTACCTTTCTGTGAGCTGTGTCACTGAGCAAACATGTCACAGCAGCAGACTTAGCCTAAGAGGTTTATTGGGGCAGGAGGGTGAAAGGGTGATACCTCCTTCCATCTATTGGGATCGCTGGCAGAATGTTGCAAAGGTCCCATAAAATATCAGGATATAGAGGTGCTGGGAAGTAGATTTTTGCTAGGCTTATTCTCCACGAGTGAAGCAGAACAAGATCCAATGGCTTTTATCAAGTAAGGTTCAAGCGAGAAAGGCACAAACTACCCCAGAAGAGTCGTCACTCAAGGGGCAGGGACTGAAGGACAAAGTCGGAAGACCCAGGGAAAGGAGAAAGCTACAGGCCACCTAGTGAGTCATCAGGCAAAGAGTAGAGGCTGAGGGCTCTGAGCCTGAGAGAGCTGTGGTTTTGGTTTCCTGGTTTCCTGGTACTGGGGCTTAAGGAGATCAAAAGGTGAGAAACCACGCCCAAGAGACAAATTCTCACTGGTGGGAAATATCCAGAGGTGGGGAATGGGGAGGGGCTCCCCAATTGTGCCAGTGTTGGATGAAGGGACCCAGTGATCTGGAAAAGCAAAGTTGTCATATGTGTACCTGGTTCCAGGGTCCTGGAGTGCCTCAAACTGCCTGTGGGCAAGAGGAAGTGCCAACAGAGCCTGTCCTGGTCAGGGAACCAATAGTGCAATTTATTAAAACAAACAAACAAACAAACAGCGAGAAGAGAATCATATCATGCAACAGGGCTCATATAGGAGGTTTATTGGAAGAGGAGAGAGAAGGGATAGAGAAGGAGCAGGAACCAGTTTCTGGGGACAAGAGTCATGGAAGAGAAAGAGAGAGGAGCAGACAGAGAAAGAGAGAGATGGGGGGCAAGGTCTACCTTTTAAAAGGCAAGGTAGCAAATGCACACAGGAGGTGCTCTTAGTGGCTGCAGCTGAGGACGTATCCTGTCAGGACCACAAGGGCAGGCCAGCACAGACACCTAAATACTAACAGTGACCTTGACTTCAAAGCTGAGAACCTGGCGGTTTCTAGGTTCTTGAGGCTGGGTTCCTCCACAGTTGGAGCATCTCACAATAGCTATCTCTAACTTGGGGGTGGGGTTCAACAGCTGGTAGTTACTCAGTGCACAAGGCAGGGTATCTCAGTGGTCCCTATCCGGTGCCAGGACCTTCAGGAACTCTCTGAGTGGGGCCTGGGGAGCAAAACGGGGAGGTGGGGGGTGTTGGTGGGGGAAATGGGGGGGGGGTGGTCTTCCTTCTGCCACACCCTTTCCATCTGGGCTGCCACCAGAAGCTGCAGTCCACCATCAGCAAGGCAATCAGGACAGTTCTTCAGGTGCAGCTCCTTACCGGGATTGCTCCAATTCCAGGCAAGTGGACACGAAAACCAATCAAAATAAGGTGCTGCGTCAGGCTTCAAATCCATGTTTTGGTTCACACCAGGGTGATGGTGAATAAGCAGAGGCCTAGATCTTCAACTATTTTCCTTATGTTCCTTCTACTAATGTTAAACTTTCAGATCTTACACAAAAGTTTCTCATCCTTTTTTATTATTATTTTATTTCTATCCTTACTATTTTTATTTTCTGAGACAGAGTTTCTTTGTGAAACAGTCCTGACTATCCTGGAACTCACTTTGTAGACCAGGCTGGCCTCAAACTCACAGAGATCCGCCTGCCTCTGCCTCCTGAGTGCTGGGATTAAAGGCCTGTGCCACCACCATTCAGCTCCGCTCATCCGTTTTTAACTAAGTTTTGTCTCAGCCCTGTGCATGTGATATACAGTTTTCCCAGCACCATTTGCTGAGGAGGCCGTCTGTCCTCCAGCGCGACTCTTTAGTTCCTCCGTTGAAAATCAGATGACTAGAACTGCATGGGCTTATTTCTTGGTTCTGTGTTCCAGAGAACACAGAAGAACGTTGACTTATGTTTCTGGGTTTGTGCCAGAACCATGTATAAATAATTCCTAAGTCCCAATATTAAAAAACAGCCCAATAAAAACAGGACAAAGGCCTTGCACAGCCTCACATCGGAAGATTATAAAGACGGCAACTGTTCTGTATGGAAAGACTCTCACCATCACATGTCCTCAAGGAAGCATAAACCAGCAAGACACCACTATTCACACAGTTCCAAGAATAGCGCATCTGACACACTGACTGTATCAAATGCTGAGCAGTGGGAACCTTCATTGGTTACTGATAGAATTACCGAGCGGGCAGTCATTTCAGAAGACAGGCTGCCAGCATCTTACCAAATTAAATACATTCTTTCCATGTGGTCCAGAAACTGCATTACTTGACATTTATACAAAAGAATCAAAAATGATGCTCTCATAAAACCCCACATGTGCAGGTTTGTATCAGATTTATGGATAACTGACAAGACTTGAGAGCAGCTAAGGTGCCCTTCAGTCAGTAGATGAAGCAAGCTGGGTTCGTCCAAACAGTGGAACGTCATCCAAACACAAGGAGTAGCAGGAAGCAACCATTAACGTATCTTTGAGATGCTTAGGAATGTATTACTAAGCAAAACTTAGGGGTCGAAATATTTTCTGATGAACGTTCTGAAAAAAACTGAAATTATAGACACAGTAGAATTGTCAGTAGTTTCCAGGGATTGGAGAGATGGCATACGTGAGCTGAGCTGAAAGGACCTTTAGGGCAGAAAAGTATTTTGTGTGATGCTCTATTAGTGGATCTGTGTCATTATGTATTGTCCAAGCCCGGAGATGTGCAACACCAAGAGTGAATGGAATGTCAACTGCAGACATCGGCTAACCCTGCTGTACAGGCCAAGTGATAGGGCACACACCACTCTGGTCGACAGACAGACAACAGGGAAGGCTGTGACAGCAAGGGAGATATCGCTGCATCTTCCTCTCAATTTCACTAAGAAATTAAAACTTCTCTTTTTAAAATGAGACAAAACATGGAGGTTATAAATGGCTCAGTGGTTAAGAGCGCTTGCTACTCTTACAGAGGACCCGGGTTCAGTTCCCAGCACCCACATCAAATGCTGCACAATCACCTTTAACTCCAGTTCCAGGGGATCCAACATCCTCTTCTGTCTCCTGCAGGCCCTTGCACATAGGCACACATGCATTCACATACATAAAATTAAATATACACATAAAACGTCTGAAAAATTAAATTGAAAAATAAAAGAACAAACCACAATACCAACAACAAAATCAGGCCTAAAACCCCAGCTATCTGGGAGATTAAGGCAGGAGGACCACAAGCCCAGGGCCATCTCTGAGGATAGAGTGAGTTCAAGGCCAGCCTGGGCAACTTAGTGAGTGAAACCCTGTCTCATAAAACACATTTTACAAGAACTGAAGATCAGGTCAGTGATAGAGTGCTTGTCCACCATGCACAATGCCCTGGGTTCTGTTCCTAGTGAGGAACATAGTAATCGGAGGCTATAGGAATAAAGAGAGTCTAGAATCATCTCCAAAAATAATGGCTGTTGTAGAATATTAGTTTGTGTTACATTCATTTATGCTGTGGAATATATGTTTAGTGATGCAGAGATGTGTTATATTTGTTTTCAAATAAAATTAATCTGGGGTCAGGAGGCTGAGTCAGCAACTAGCAGACAGGAAGTGGCAGGGAGGAACCATGTGTGGCT